TAGTTGAGGAACTATCAGAACATCTGAAAAACAAATTGTAGAATGGTCGGAAATGAAATGGTTTTGTAATTTGGTTTCTGAATCAGATTTGGTTGATGCCAGGGTCTGGTTGATTAGAGCTTGGATAATTAATTAGTTGAAAGAAATCAAATTTTCATTCTTTGGTGCCTTTCACATTTTCAGGACATCCAAATAACTTCATGATCAATAATTTAGCCTGAAATGTAGTTGGCCCTTATGATTGAACAGGCAATATAGCCAATTCTGAACAACATGGGCTCACATCCAGCAATGAGATACATGATTAGTATTTTCTTTTGTTGATTGAGGATTAAATATTGGCCAGGAGAATATCATGAGAACTTACCCCTATTCTTGAAGTAGTTTTTCCTTATCAATTCATTCATAGATGTCTGCATTTATTACCTTCCAAATTGCCTTGCAGAAGATGGTGGTAAACTGCTGCTGTCCTTGGATTGTAGTTATACGCACTGTGCTGTTAGGGAGGCAGGTCCAGGATTTTGACCCAGTGACAGTGGGGGGAAAAAAGTTTCAGGTCAAGATAGTATATTATTGAGGGGAACTTGCAGATACTGATCTCATTCATCTGCTGCCCTTTTTCTTCTAGGTGGTAGCTATGCATTTGGAAGCTCTGTTGGAAGAGCTTTCGTGAGTTATAGATGGTGCATATTACTGCATTGAAGGTGAAGATGGAGGTAGTGGATGGGGTACCAATCAAGTGGGCTGTATTGTCCAGTGGTTTACAGTTGAGACGGAGTTGCTTTCGGAATCATCCTCGTTAACTGCAGACCTCCTGAGGTCTGATGGCAAAAACTCAAACATGAACAAGGAAGCCTGCTGCTATCACCTTTCACCTCCCTGGTCTGAGGAAACAAATTAATGAGCAGTTATGATATTTTTTTGTCCCCCAAGAATTTCAATCATGGTTTTATGAACTTTGAAGATGGGCATTTTTAAACCGGGTAAGAGTGTTTTCTGCAAATATTTCTTGAGCATTTCATCAACTTCCTGGTATCACCTTGTGGCTCATGAAATTACAGCTTTGTGGAGTAGTGATAGTGTCCTACCTTTAGCTCAGAAGGTCCAGGTTCATGTCCCCCTTGCTGTGCACATGTTCCATAACAGGTTGATTTAAAAATATCTATGATTTAAATTCTGCTCATAATGCTTACAGAATGATTGGGCACATAGGTTGCACAGGGCTGTGGAGAGACATGGAGTTTTTGAGAGAGTATATGACCATCCCAAGGCCATCGACCTTGCATCAATGGGGTGAGGACTCAGACCTAGTAACTAAGCAAGTGCCATTTTCCCATTTCTGTGTACTGATTTAAATTAGACTGGATATTGCCATTTAGACTGAAATAAACACCATGATATATTTTTACAATGCTAAATATACTGTATAAATGCAAGATTTTGTTGGTGAGACCTTCCTAGCCTGCATAGATCAAAGAATCCCAGCAGTGTGGAAACAGGCCCTTTGGCCCAACAAGTCCACACCAACCCTCAGAGCATCCCACCCAGACCCCCGCAACCCACCTAATCTACACATCCCTGAACACCTACAGGCAATTTAGTGTGGCCAATACACCTAGCCTGCACATCTTTGGACTGTGGGAGGAAACCGGAGTACCCGGAGGAAACCCACGCAGACGTGGGGAGAATGTGCAAACTCCACACAGACAGTCACCTGACGGTGGAATTGAACCCAGGACCCTGGTGCTATAAGGCAGCAGTGCTAACCACTGAGCCACCGTACTGCCCATCCAGGAATGAATGAGTTAATTCACATAAAATTTTCATAGCCAGCAAAATGAGACATAAGTATCGGAATCGTGATTTTCTTTACTATGTTTAGGATGTTTAGATTTCAGACTAAGTCAAACTTGTTTTTGACCACAGTAATAAGGCATCTGCTTGGATTTTTACTGATTTTTGGACTGTGTCCTGTGATTTAACTGCTTTTTAACTGTAAACATGCAAGTCAGTGTCCGCTGTGATTGCACATTCTCTTGTACTGATTTATTTTTTTCCCAAGAGCTTGTGTTACACCTCTCAGGGGTAGTGTGCTGGAAATCAAACCACTCTACACCCAGAGTCATCACAAATGTAAAAGATTTTATGGAAGTATGCAAAATTCCCCGATTTACTTGATTTGTAGACCCAGGTTGATAGAAAGCATGGACTTGCTTTCTGTACTTAGCAAGCTTGACTATTATGACTATTACAAATAAACAGACTTTAGCTACAGTGAACAATTATAAACTGTAGATCTATAACTGTAGTACTTAAAGCTCCCTCCTAAACCACCCCACCCGCCTTATGCATGCACAAAAACGTGTGTTATGTATGCAGGGGAAACTGGGAAAGCAGTTCAGTGACCTCCTCTGTTCACAGGATCTGCTCAGATGTTTCTTGTACTGATCAGAATGCTGCTTCTCAGTCTTTCTTCTCCAGATGCTTTCATGGCTTTGCAAGAGGTGCAAGGTGGCTGGTGCACGCTTTTTTAAAAGGTCTCTGACTTCATGATTAATAGGTGCAGCTTACACCAACTGCTGAAGGAAAGATTTTCCTCAGGCTTAAAGTGGGTTTTGCTGCAGTGAATAGAGAGAATTTCTGAGCTGGTGGATTTCTGAAAGCTACTGCCGATCCTGTTCATAGTCCCAAGCTGTTCAGCTATTACATCATTGTTGACATGCAGAAAGTCTTTGACATCACTAGTCCACAATACTGGTTGCTGGCTCAATCTCTATTTGTACTCGCCCATCAGCTTGTTTTAAAAACTACATTTCACCTGGTCTAACAAGAAGCCGTTTAAAATGAATGTTACAATGCTTACTTGTAAAAAGTGTAATAATCCTGAAACAATTAGTTTTTAATTAATTTGAAAAACAGCTATTTTCCCATTTCAGTTCCAGAATTAAAAATACAGAAAACTAAAAAGACACTAGTTTTTACACTTGAAACTGTAGAACATCCTATATGCTTCAGTCTTTTGATTTCTGCCTTACAAAATAATGCAAAATATGTCCTGTCAAATGCAATGGCAGTCACACCACAGACCTCATCAACGTGCACCTACAACTGGTAGCTGGTGAAAACTTTGTCCATGACATACATAACCACATCACTGAAGCCCAAAGACACTCTTCACCAATACTATGCTTGCCGCCACTCTACTTGATAAAACCCCATGCATGCAACCATGCTGATTAGTCCACTTCTGTCCCCTCACCGTCTCTCACCCAATCCTTCCTGCCCGTGGTCAGTGAATGGCAGGAAAGCACGGCAGTGAGTGACAGAGAGGGAGTGAGCAGTCAGGAGCAAGGGTGGACAAGTGTTTGGAGTGGGGCAGTGAGCAAATTGTGATCCCAGGATGTAGATTAATTCAAAACATTTGAAAACACTCATTTTCTTGCTCTTGTACCTTAATGCAAGCACCTTACTGTGGTATCACTCATAGTGAAGGCACAGGCACAGTGACTGCATGGACAATAAGTGCCTTCCCTTCCCCTGCAATTGCAGTGACAATAAATACAGACAAATAATAAATGTGGCACCACCTACATAGTGGTTTACCTCTCTTATTCTTTTCATGCTTGGTGGTGCCCTACCCTGTTGGGGCACTTCACCTTCTCATTCTATTGCCATCTGTGTGCTCTTGTTTATACATGAATGAAGTTGTTTATTTTTAGGATCTTGTTGGTTTCTGTTCTAGGTTCATTCACCTCAAATATTAAGAACTGCAGAGACAAAGCGTTGCAAGGCTTTGACTGTACATCATAAAATACATTTATGTCAGATATCCAAAATTTAAAAGTTAATGCAAGCAACATTATTATGGTGAATACACTGTGCCCTCTAGTGGTTGAAAGATTTTCATCATGCAATTTATGCCATTATGCATTTATGACTTCAAAGTTTGATTTGTTTGGAAAGACTGATTTGTCGAACTTAAGGATCGATTAAGACAAAACCCCTTGTTTTGTTCCTCTTTACTGGAATTGATGGATAAGTCATGCTTCTCGTGAATGAATATGTTAGTATTCATCCAATTAAGAACTGACTCTATCAGTTTTGAGGTTTTGTTCATTTTGTACATTTGACAGTCTAGCATGGTGATTGTTTTAGAAACTTGTAACTTGGCCACTTCAAAAGCATCAAGAATCATCCATATAGTTTAAAACACTGTATGCGTGTCAGATCAGGTTGTGTGATATTCATAGCCGACAAGTTAGTGTGCTTATTGAATTCAGTTTCATAGTGTACTGAAGTGGGATTTTAACTCTCAACCTGTGAGTTGTTAGTCCATTCCAAATTCTGTGTTCTGTGACTTGAGCACATGGTGATTTATTGATCGTGCCTCTGAACAATGAGCAAGTGGATGTTAAATTTCTTGTTGTGTAGAATAGAAACCTAATATGTAGCTTAAATTTAAAGTTGCTTTCAATCAGAATGGTTTCTATTACCTGCACTGAACAATCTGGGCAGAAAACTAAAACTGAAAGAAGCCTGAAAAACAGTAGCTTTTATTAATTTTGCAAATGTACACCAGCACTAATGAGAAAACAAAACAAAAATATTGCTTGAGTAGCTTGCTAATGTTGCCATGGTAAAACATAGTTTTTGAAAGTAAACAGAAATGCTTAACTGTTCTCCATTGTTTAAATGAAATGTCGCTGTTGTGGAGTATTTTGTGGTTTAATATAGAAAAAACATTTAATTAACTTTTTTATATTTCAGAACAAATCTTTGTTATATTGTTAACTTTGACCCACTTGCTACTGTACCATAGATCACTTTGTCTCTGTCCTATAAGGTTTAACACCCAAAGTCTTGCAAATAAAGAGTGGTTTTTGAGTGACTTATGGCCAGTTAAATTCCACTCATTGTACTAAAAGCTGTATTAAAAGTTGTGTAATGTTTCAGTAACTCAAAGTTTCTTCACTAATTTTTACTTGTTCCTTTTTTTTCAGGATGCTTTTGTAGACCTATATGGAAACAATATGGAACCTCATTTCGACATCCCATGGCCCTCTCTTCGGACTGTCTTGGGCATTGCTGCTGTGGGGGCTTGTATAACCTTTGCTTATCTAGCCCACCAGTATTAACCGTGATTATTCAAGAATTTCCTTTTAACTAGAACTGCTTGCAAAAATTTTTTAGGCTGCTTTAATGTTACAAGTTGTTTTATCTAATTGGATCAAATTATCAGCCTATTTGACACCTTAAAATATTCTTATATTTATAATCATTGAGTCTTTTACAGCGGTAGGTTTATAATGTTTCTTTGCAGTTCGCAATGAATTCATTGTTGAATATGTAAATGTGAAGCCAATTCTAGAAGTACATTTCTCTGTGGGTTGAATTTCTTCAGGCTGACTGGACTCTACATTCCATAATAAATTGGACAGATTGTGTAACAAGACGGTGATACAACTGGATGGAATTTTGCCTACAGCAATGTATGAGGCAAGAACCCTGATTTTGGCCTTGTTTTGTAACATATCGGTGACAATATATTGCTTGACAATTGAGCATTATATGAATTACAATCAGTGCACAACACAAATTGCCCAATACTCAGCTTCCTGAAAATGTTGGGAACTGAGGTTTAGGTGGCCTTTTTTTTTTCTTTAAAAAAAAAACTTTCTTTTACTAAAGGGGGAAGTCATTGTCTTTTTACAAAAACAAAATTTAGAAATTAGTCATGGTCTTCAAGATTTAACATTGTACAGAAGTTCCTGGAATGGCTGAAGAAGACTTCTTTGGGCTGTGATTTGAACATACAAAAATTTATTCATCATGTCATTAAACAGCAAGTGGATGTTACAGTTTATTTTGGTATAAAGCAGAAACTTCATCCTCGGCTTATGTTTGGATCTGCTTGCAATTGCAATGGCGACTAATACCTGTACTGAACAAACCAAGAAGAAAGCTAAAACTGGATGGAAACTGGAAGTAAAATAACTTTTATCAGTTTTGCAAATGTGCATTAGCATTTAAGGAAAGGAAAAACACACAAATGATGTTTGGTAACTTGCTAATGTTGCCAAAAGTTGCAGTGGTAAAATTTAGTTTTTGAGAGTAAACTGAAAGGCTTGTATTTGTTCTCCAATGTCTAAAATATGTTATTTTTGTAGAGTATTTTGTGGGTTAATGTGAATAACATATTTGAGCTTCTGGACCTCGGCACAAAACTCTTAAAATATTATTTCAACCATAGTCCATATAGAAGGTATGAGCTTTTCAAAAAAAAAACTTTGAAAAGTCCATTCCATTTCCATTTTAAACTTAACTTAAAACTTTTTTCATTATTTTTATTTAAAGTTTACAATTCTTACTAAATGGGCTGCTATTAGGTGAGTGTTGTAGAATAATTATGGCTTTACATAGATTAAATACCAAAGGGTGATTCCCAAATTGCTGCGGTGTGAAGACTATAAGATACTGCATGCTTTAGATAATGCCTCTAGTTTTGAACATTGTGCTAATGAAATATATACATTTAATGACTTCCAAAAAGTATATCCAGCTATGTGACATGATTTTGCAAAAACTCTGCCCACCAACAAAATCTAGAACATTCTCATTCTGCAAAACTGTGCAGAAGGAATGCTGTAACTCTGGCTCGTCAAAACTACCACACCAACAGAAAACAATGGATGACAGTGCTTACTTTTGTGATACTTGCATGGAGACTCATATCAGAGACCTTGGGGATGTTCACCCTTCTTTACAGAATAACCAAACTTCTTTGGGTGACTTCTGTTTTTAAAATGTTAAGACTTGTGCTATGATGCCTTTCAACTTGAGAATTTCTAATGCATCCACAAAACATCTGCAGCAGAAGTGAATTGTCATAATGATTCACAGATGCTAAAGGAAAATTAAATTGTACTTGCAGTAGTGCTCCATCTACTGATGACGACCAATTTCACCATACCAATATCGCATAAGACAAAGTGAATGTACCGTGAAGAAATGAGCATAACTGAAATCACCAGTAAGCTAGCAGTATTGTAATTTCATGTGGAGTGATAAAAGCTTATCAAGAAAATTAAGCACGTTAGAAAAAATATTTTTTTAAGCATTTTATGTGCTTCCTAAAAAAAATTATACTTGGTATAAATTGTGTGTTTGTGCACCTTCAGTATATTTTGGCATGTCATTTTTGTTGCAGGATGAAAGCTCTTGTAATTTTAGAAGCTGTGCTTTGTATCTTGGGTGTAATATTTTGTTAATTGATGTATTATTTTTATATACCGTTGTGCTGTTGTATTCACTGCTCTGTGTTGTTTGTCACCACAGTGATAATATTACAAATCTGAAAAATCTAGCAAATGAGCAGAAACATATTAGCAGAGTTGTGAAAACTGGCCTGCAAGATGTTGGCTTACTGTTTAATTAAGCTTAAATATAGCCCAAACCGAAGTATGCATATGTTTTAGTTTAGGAACAGGGAGGTTGGATGCATTGTTTAGAATATTTGGAGTCTAGCCCAACCTAGATACCTAGCAACAATTGCAAAGTAACTCCCTAGCCTTAATGCAAATTAGTCAAGCTAGTTGGGTGTGATCTCTAGTAGACATATCTTGCCATTATCATATTGAATTGTTGTTATGAAATATACAGCACCAATTAAGCAGCCTTTTTCTACCCGATACCATTAATACTGTGCAACATCCAGACTATTATATGGACACGTTTATCCTGCAGTGTGTGTCTGAGACAGAGGAGTGACTCGAAAATAAATTACATTATTGACTTTAATTCTTAAAAAACCTCTCAATATCTGGAATTCTCAAATGTATTTTTCTGAAAGAATTTAGTGCTGTTTTGGAGATGGCCTTACAAGCCTTATTCAAGTATGTATTCTTTATGGACTCAATTTAAACAGAGTACATAATAATAACTAATTTCTACAATTTTTATTGTAGCAAGTAATGTTTTTTGTTTTCAAAAAAATTCTGCAAGTTGTTACCAATGATGTTTTATAAAACAGAATTCAGCAGCGACATGTTCAGTTAACAACATTTTATTTGGTTCATCATTTCAGTACACTTAATGCGTGTAAGGAAATTTTTGTTCCTTGTCCTGGGATTCTTTTGATTTAGCGCACTTCCAAATTATTTTTAAGTGTGCCAGCAGCATATGGAAAATTATTGATAGAATTGTTTTTTAAAATGAAGGATTTTCAATCTCATTTCCTTCCAACAGTATTGTAAGGGGACTAATACCTCATCAGAGATAAGAGACCTTTTGTTGTTTTTAATTTCCCCTATCTCAACACCAAGTGGCAGTGTATAATTGAAAATTGAATTGGATATTCTGAAACTGTCTTTTTCTTTTAAGTCTCACTAATGTACACATGTTATGTAACTGATAGTCTTTTTCTAACAGAATGAAACCTGACGGGGTTAGCTTCAAAAGTGTCTGCTTCTGGTATGATTTTTAAAAAAAGCAAACCAGGGTTATATTTATATTTCTGATTTTTCATTTGATATGTACCCACTTTTGTGGCAAATAAGAGAAAGAGGGTTTGGTCTAGACACGCAAACAAACCTCAAGTTAAATGGTTTAACCTCAGTTGGCCATCTTTTTTGCTAATCTTACTTTAGTCCAACCAGATTTTAAGCATTGTATGTTTGTTGTCTCTAGATGGTATTGAGTGAGAAGAGAATCCTAGATAGCAAATGTTTCTTTTTACATTTAAGCTTTTTTGAGTGAATACATTGTTTAATCCACCAGATTGAGCACTGGGGATGCTGCATATGATTTCTGATTGAGTGCACTGTCGGCAAGTTCATTAAAGTAGTTTGAATTATATGCACACATGTAAACAGAATGTGGCCACTTTAGTGAATGATGGGTGTCAGGGAGAATGGAAGAATCCATTGTCTATACATGGACCATAGGTAACTACAGAATTGATGTATCATGATTCCGGGTACGAAGCATCAAAATCTGTTTGACACTGAGTTTTATAATACTTTTTAATATTCTATACAATCAACTGTATCATTTCTCATAATGACTTAAACATATTTTGCAACGAAAGTGACATCATGCATGTAAGAAAGGTGTTGCTGAGGACTTGATCATTTTTATAAAGCTAACCAGGAATCCTTGACTGATTTTATTTTAACTATTTTCCCTGTTTGGCTATTGATATACTGAAAATATTTTTCATTTAGTCATGCTCCTGGTATGCAAGAACCACATCTTAGGTACTTTTCAATTTGCTTTAGACAGAAATGGTTTATATATAAACTGAATGTTAATTCAACCAGTGTTTATTTTTTATTTGTGGTGAAAACAAAATATTCATCTCAATAATTACTGACCTTTTAGCCGATGAAGTACTTAACAGACATTGCCGATTTAATGTACTTGTTTATTAGATGGAACGTCAATTTTTCAGAGGTTGCTTGCATGTTGAAAGAGCCGTTACTTTATGCTATTGTAGTCCATTCTTAGAGTATCAGCTATGCTCTATCATGGAGGAAGTGAATCTGTGCTCCAGCTGAAATAATGGGGACATGCCCTCCTCTGCAGTGCTGGGTAGTTGTGATTTTATTTGACAGTGGTCAGCCTATTGAATGGAGGAGATGTTGTGTGTCAAAATTGGCTATTAATACCTGGGGGAGCCTATATTCAGTGCAGGCTGCCCAAATAATTTCCAGTCCCCACCTTTCTCCCATCCCCAAACTGTGCATATTGCATGGTGTAGGGCACGCTTTGCCATTTTTAAAAATTCATTCATGGGATGTGGGTGTTGCTAACTAGACCAGCATTTATTTCCCATCCCTAATTGGTGAGAGGGCAGTTAAGAATCAGGCACATTGCTGTGAGTCTGAAGTTACAGGGAGACCAGACTAGGTAAGGTTGGCAGTTTCCTTCCCTAAAGGACGTTAGTGAACCAGATGGGTTTTTACTGACAATTGACAATGGATTCACCATCATTATTAGACTCTTAATTCCAGAATTGAGGTCAAATTCCACCAGGATTTGAACCTGGGTCCCCAGAACATTATCTGGATCTGTGGATTAATAGCCCAATGATAATATCCCTCAGCCATCTGCTCCCCAATAAACACATTTTAACGCATTAGTGATAGAGAGAGATCTGCAGGGCGTAGTTGACCCAAAGCCAGGCTGACCACCCAATATCTACTGTGTCACTGGTACAATTCCAGTGGAGATGGATAGTTGACAAGCAAGGCCATCTGTGCCTGTCACCTGATTTAATCCCCTTCTCCCACCAGGCTGCCAACCTTCTTTCAGAAGTAGCAAAAGTGATCTTTGTTTGTTCCACATTAAAGGATTCTTACCCCTTCCAAAAAAGAGTTAAACCCATTCCCTGCCCAGATTATACTTGTATTTCCAATTAAATTCCAGTTTTGCTCAATGAGCTTGAGATCTGTTGGCGTTCAGGAGCGAATAATCATTTGAGTGCCTTGTCCTTGCAAAACTGATTTGTTGAATTGGCATTGCCAGTGAAACAACCAAGTTTTTCCTTTGGTGGACTATATTCTTCCCTGCATTTTTAAAATGATTTTTGTACACCAGTTCCTACCCACACAATTTCAAATGCATTCAGAATCAAATGTGTTGTTTCAAGCGTCTATTTATATCCTTAATGTAAACTGTGAAATAAAAAGAGTAAAATGTTTTGCATGTATATATTACAGGCACTATCACTGACTGCAGTCCAGAGTGACAAAGAAGGATAATGCTAACACCGATGTTTTCATAAGTTTTATTTGCAATTTGCAAGTAGTAAAGTCAAACCTTATTCTGTATTAGAGAGTCCTGCTATTTCCTGTCCATTAAATATGAAAAGCTTCATACATTTGGGAATGTTATGAGTTGGGATAAAGTTTTAGATAAAGGACACATTTAAATAGTAAATGCTAATTTGTTGCAAATGGCAGCCTTTTTGATATAACCTTCAGGAGAGATTAATTTTAAGGACACATGACTTGTAAATAGTCTAGACTGCCTATATAAGCTACATATTACCTGTATAAGTTTCTTTAAAATGTAGTATGAAAAATGTCAAGAATTTCGTAATTCTGTTGAAAGATTTGAAACATTGTGTGACTTTAATGTAGTAAATGCTTATACAGTTGTTTGTTAACAAAAATACTTATAAAGATTTTTTTAATATACTTGCGTGTGATTATTTTATAAGTCATGACAAATATGCCACTGCCAATATTCATTCACTCTCTTCATGTAACAATGTTGCACAGAACAAAATAACAATTTATTTTGCTTTTTAATGAAGCTGATCTTTATTTCCTTGAATTTTTACAGAGCATGGCGTCATTCAGTTTGATTGATGGGAGAAATGAAAACCTTGTGCTTTGACAGGGATTTACATAAATGTGAAGTTTGGTGGGAGGGAGCAAAGGAAGATGACGGTATCTGCCTTTCGAAGCCAATGAGGAATGATTAGATCAATTTATGTTATACTGGATATTTTTGGCACTTTTTTTTTCATTCTATGATAATTATATCAATTATCCAGTAGATTTTTCTATTCCCAGTCAAGCATCTAACTGTTGATATGATCCCACACGTCATAAAACCTCCTCAACAACAAACTTTAAGGCTCGTATTCTTAATTTGAATTCGCCCCATCCTAGTTTCATGATTTACTTTGAATTTTCTGGATAAGTTTTTTTTTGTATCATTTACAATCTCATATAGTTCTAAGATCATTTCCTTTCACAAAGAAGGACCATGTTTCTGCCCTGTTTTCTCATAACTATGTCTGCAGTACTATTTGTAAATTTATCGAAGAGCTAAATGCTTTTTTGGAAGTTGAGACAGACAATGACACATGGCTTTCTGCAATTCATTATGAATATGATTATTAAAGAATGAATTGAAATTCTTATGTTGGACCTTCTGCACCATGTTGACTGCTGTTCACAGAATCAGAATCAGTTTGTTCCTGATAATTTCCATTAATTTTAATGGAAAACCAAATTGTCTGTAGTTTGATAAATCCGTTTAGTTACCTTCTTTGAAAATGACCTTCTCAGATTCTGGGCCAATGTAGATTTCAATTGAAATGCAATGTTTAAAATTTTTGAATTAAAAATTCCAATTGAGTGGCCTATAGTGATATAATTAGGTTGAGATGAGGTGAAGAAACATGCCTGAAGCAAAAATGATAGCACTTTGCCCCTAAAGTTACCCATCATCATAGATGCCAATATCCATTAATTAAGGCAGTAAACACCATCCCTTTCGAAATTAAACTTTACAATTAACTCAGTAAACAGACACCTGTCCATTTTGACAACAAATGTATTAAATGTGCCACTATGTCTAGTTTGTGCGTTCATTCAAATAATCTATATGAATTTAAACAGGCCCCAATGTTTGAAACCAGCAAACAGGCTTGAACCCAGTATCTACAAGCAAATTCTTTTAAAATGCAGTGAGGAAGAAAGGTAGCCGGGTTAGTGATATGAATATGGCTTGTAAGGATGCAGGCCTCCACACTGGCACTAATACTCATGCACTTGGTAATTTCAGTTTTTTTTCTAATTACACAGTACATTAATGTCACAAGAAAAGTATCACAACTTTAGTGGAACTTTTGAACAAAAGCCTAATATATTCCCAAAGGGTAAGATTGTAGCTGGAGGGAGTGGACAAATTTGTCAATGTTGCAGCAGAGAAGAGACCACCGTACTACTTATGCTATTTGTAACTGTGGAATGGTTTGAAACCAACACTTGGATTTTGAATTTTACTCCCTGATAGTGACTGCCCTAAGTTTGTTGCATATTACCCACTGACTGAAACCACCTCTAGGTTTGCAGACTCCTGCAACTTCTGTTTTCAACAAGCACTAATATTTAGTGTAATCTTGCCTGGAAAGCTAAATGGACTATTTCCCTCATCTTTTGATATATTTTCAAGTCAGGATGATGTGTGCCTTGGAGGGGAACTTGCAAGTGGTGATGTTCCTATATAACAGCTGGCCTTGGCCTTTGGGTTATAGAGGTATGGAGTTTGAAAAGTGCTGTTTAACAGGTTATAACTGAGCAATTGCCATTTGATAGCACTGTTTTTGACACTTCTATTGCTTTGCTGATGATCAAGAGAATATAAATGGGGTGCTAACTGGCCTGCTTTGATTTGTTTTGCATTTTGTGAACAGACATACCTTGGCAATTTTCTACGTTGTCGTGTAGATGCCAGTGTTGGAGCTGTATTAGAATAGCTTTGCTAAGGGCATGGCTAATTCTGGAGCACAAGTCTCCAATACAACTGTTGGGGCCCATAGTCTTCACAATATCCAGTGCCTTCAGCCATTTCTTGATATCACATGGAATGAATCGAATTGGCTGAAGACTGGGATGTGTATTATTGGGACCGCTGGAGGAGAGATTTCTAGCTGAGGATGGAAGCAAATAATTCTCCTTTGTCTTTTGCACTAATGTGCTGGGCTCCCCCATCATTAAGGATGGGCATATGTGTGGAGCCTCCACAAATAACTAAATTAGTTATTTAATTGTCCATCACCATCCGTGAGTGGATGGGCAGGGCTGTAGAGCTTTGAGATCTATTGATTGTGGGACCTCTTAGCCTGGTTAATCGCATGTTACTTACGCTGTTTGGCTTCTGAGTAGTCTTTGTTATAATGTCATCAGGTTGACACCTGAGTTCTCAGTACATCTGGCGCTGTTCCTGGAATATCCTCCTACATTCTTCATTGGACCAGGATTAGTTTCCCTAGGTTGATCGTAACAATAGAGTGATGGTTATATTAGACTACTGTGCTTAAATTCAAATCCATCGCTGTTAATTGCTAACGATACGTCATCAATGCCCAGTTTTGTATCATTAGATCTTTTGGAATTCTATCTCATTTAGCATGGTGATAGTGTCACACAACAATATGCAAATAGCTCCATAAGGACTGTGCAGTGACCACTCCTACAGCTACTTATCATGGATAAATTTATCTGTGGTAGGCAGGTTGGTGAGGATGAGGTGACGTAGGTTTTTCCTTTTTGTTAGTTCGAACATTTCCGTCTTGCAGCCATATACTTTAGGAATCAGCCATCCCAATGATTAGTGGTGATGGATATTGAAGTCCCGCACCTGGAATACACTTGGTGCACTTTCCACGCACCAAGCTACTTTCAATTGGTGTTCAAATGGAAAAAATCTGATTTCATCAGACAGGCAGGAGAGAGAGGTATAGGTGGTAAGTGGCAAGAGAGTTCCTTGTCAAAGTTTGACAAATATCATGAGACTTCATGGCATCTGCACTCATTGTTACTCCTTCCTGACTGTATGTGTCACCACTTCTGTTGGGTCTGTGCAATCTGTGGAATAGTTATATGTGGGCATTTGTATGGTATGATTGAGAGTATGACTGCATTAGGCTGTTGATTTGACTCATCTGTGACAAGCCACCAGATGTTGAAGACGACAACTGGGAAAGAGTGTCGAGAGGCTTGGAGTTCTGAAGAAGGGTCATTGGACCTGAAATGTTAATTCTGCTTTCTCTCCATAGATGCTGCTAGACCTGAGTTTTTCCAGCAATTTTTGTTTTTGTTTTTTGTTTTTGTTTCTGATTTCCACCATCTGCAATTCTTTATTTTTTTTTTTGTCAACTGGCTTCAGCTTGACAAAATCATTTCTGGTGCTTATGTTGATGCCAGGTGGTCTGTGTAGTTTATTCCTTTCAGCTGAATGGCTTGTCTGGCCATTTCAGAGGGCATTTAAGAGTTTCATATCGCTATGGACTTGGAGGCACATGTAGACCAGGTGAGCTGAGCAAGACAGATTTTCCTTCCCT